CACAAAGAAAGCATGCACAGTCCTTCCCCCATTCCCAGTTTCCACGCAGACGGGACTACCTTGGCTGTGGCCTTGCCTTGCTGTGACTAAGACACTGGCCACAAATTCCTGAGTGTTTGTTGGGTGACAGGGTCATTGAGAAGTCTGACTCCTGTCCCACCCCGCCTCTGGGTGCTTACCATCTGCAAATTGTTGGAAACTAGATGTCCTAGCACAGGGATGAACGATCTTGTCAGGTCTGAGAGTGACCAGCTGGCTGAGCAGTGCCCAGGACTGTGCCCAGCTTCCCTACCCCACATCTTGATTGGCAGATAAAATAAGAGCACACCAGTGAGGGTGTAGAAGAGGGGATGAGAGAGAGAAAGAGAGACGGGAAAGAGGGAAGAGAAGAAGGACTAAAGTGGCCAGGATATAGGGTGCAAATGCTGAATTAAAAGCAGTCTTGTTCCCTTAGTGGGAGTCTCAAGGGTCACACAGTCCCTCGCCTTGCACAAGAAAGATTGGAAACACAAAGAATACTCTCTTTTTTGAAATTTTAAATTCTCTTTGTTTCTTTTGGTATAAGGAGGGGTAGCCAGGCATCCTACGAGGGGAAGTGCAGGATCAGGTTTTTATCTTTGTGTCCTTGGTATTCAGCACAATGTTTCACACATTAGTTGTGAGGGAGGAAAGGAAGGAAGGAAGATGTCGGTAAGGCTCAGCGTTTTTGTAGCTTCTGTATTCTTGCAGTGATTCCCATCCTTACATTAAAAAACAGCAATTTTGGACTTCAGTCGCTAGGGGGAGGCAGAGGAACATGGGAAAGCTGCAGTGAGCGCCCCCGCCAGGCAGGACTGCCTCAGACTACACCTGAGAGTAAATGAACTTCATTGACCTGGCAAGATTAGGAATCAGAAGAATTAGAGTCTTCAGCTTTCCCTTAATTCAAAATGTATATCTTGCCTTTAATCAGAGTGTCATGTGTATATTTGTACAAAATAAGAAACAAGCTGCTTGTCATAGTGCAATGCAGAATTATTGAGTCAAATCAGAGCAGAGGACTTCGGCCATCTGGTCAACACTTAGCAGGCAGAGTGACTCAGCAGGAAAACATAGGAAGCAGAGCCTTGGGACCAGAGCTCTCTGACTATGCAAACTTCACCGAGTTATTTGTCCTCTTGGAACCTCTGTTTCTTCATCACTAAAAAGATGACAGTAATCACCTTCACCTCATTGGGTTACTGTGAGAAGCATATAAACCGATCAATGAAAAACCTCTCATAAAACAGCAAAGAACCATATGGACGTAAATCTAATCATTATTAATCACCATGTGTTCAAGTCAAAAGGTTGTCTACTTAATTATGTTCTTGAAGTTGTCCAGTGAGCAAATCCGCAGACTGTAAGTTCTGGAAGGAAGGAACTATAGTCATTGCTCATAGCATCGAACATGGTACTTGGTAAGTAGGAGATAATGTTTTGTTGTTGTTTCTTAAATGAATAAGTAAAACACTTACATGTAGGAAAACCATATAATTTACCAACTAAAATGAGCATTTTTTTTTTTTTTTTTTTTTACTGAAAGGAAGCATTGTTAGTAATTACTCCAGGAAACAGGTTAAAAGTAGGACTTTCCTTGGCCAACTGAGACATGGAACACAGGGTCACTCTACCAACAGAGCAGTTACTATGTGCCGGAAAGTAGTTCAGGGCATACTGTTCAGGGCTAGGCACTGCCCTGAACATATCACAGTATTAAGTCATTTAATATGGAACACAGGGTCACTCTACCAACAGAGCAGTTACTATGTGCCGGAAAGTAGTTCAGGGCTAGGCACTGCCCTGAACATATCACAGTATTAAGTCATTTAACCTTCACAACGTCCCAAGGTTGGTATTATTATTAACCATATTCAACAAATTATTGACCACCTGCTATGTGTCCCACGTCTTCTAGAATCTTGGAATACATCAAAAAACAACCTCAACAACAAAAATTTTTGTTCTTTAAGAGTACAGGATAAGGAAGAGAGACAGTAAATAATAAGCATAATAAATAAGTGAAGTACCTAGTATGTTGGAAGGTACTGCAGATAAAGGGAGGGCAGAGCACGGGGGATTCGGAGTGCTGAATGAGAAAACTAGGTAGAGAAATATCACATAAGCTGCCAGCATGCCCAGCTGGTTAGTCACAGAGCCCCAGTTCTCGCTCAGGTGATCCAGCCCCATTCCTGCTGTAACTTTGACACTGTTTTCTCTTTCAGTTCTGATGTGCACACAACCTTGCTGCAAATTAAAACACGTTTCCTCCATCAGTGGCAGAGAAGAGCACACAAAACATGGCAATACATCCCTGAGCTAAACTCAGCACCCCCCACCTATGCCGGACATTGGCCACACCTGATGCCTTGATTTGAGTTACAGCTGAGTCCCCACTGGACGCGGGGCCCCTGTAATTGCTTGCCTACCCAGCAGGAATGGAGGCCACACATCCCTGCTCCTCCTAGAGAAATTTTTGTTCATGAGTTTGGGGAAATGGCCCACCAAGCCCACCAAACAGGACTAAATAAATGACTCAAGAGGAAGGGCTAGGCTTCCCGAAAATCTAGATTGCTTGAACTCCTGCTGGCATTTCAACATGTTCTCAGCCATTGAAACACATGATGTCAAACTTCCTCTGCCCCCCACCCCTCACCCCTCACCCTGCTCTCTTTCTCGTCTCTTGCCCTTCTTCATCTTGTGATGCTGGCAAAATTCCAGGGTGGTTATTCAACCTATCTCAAGACACCCTGTGCCAAAAAAAGAAAGAAAAGGCCAGTGCAGGCCCCAGGGCAAGGCTGCTGGGTTCAGGAAGGCTGAGCTGCCAGGAGCACCCTCAGTAGCCTGAGGCTAGGCAGGAAACACAAAGGAAACTTTGCATTTGAAATCCAGTCTGCAGAAGAGCTTGAGCACATTCTCAACATCCCAAGTCCGTACATCCATCAGTAAATGTCCCAGCACCAGCTTTTACACCATCTAGTAGGCAAATCACAGCAAACACTTACTGAGGACCCACAATCTGTAAAGCGCTGTGCTCAAAGTTATTACTTCTGTGCACACCGTACCTTTCACGCAGATCTTTGTCTTTCTCTAGGCCCCCTTTCCATATCTACAAAGCAAAGGCATTTAAGTTGACAATCTCCAGGAACTCAGCTCTAAAATTCTGACTAGTATTTGCTAGACTGTGAGCATCCTGAAAAGAGAGATTAAGTCTCATTTATCTTTCTCTCCCCAGCATCAAACAGAGGCTATGCCATGGAGACAATGATGGTTAAGGGTCCATCAAACAAATCAAACTTCTGAAATAAGGCTCTTCAAGAATATTTCAACAACCAGCCAAAGGCTGACTCATCCACCCATCACAAATGTATGAGAAAATATGTTATACAGTTTTCCTCTTGTTTTACAAGCTGGGCTTGTAAAGCTTTTGACCTGCACAAAATAATTTTTTTTCAATTTTATTTATATGTATTTTTGTGGGGTACAATGTGTTATTTCAATACAAGCATACACTGCACAATGACTCACTCAGGGTAGATATATGTATTTTTGTGGGGTACAATGTGTTATTTCAATACAAGCATACACTGCACAATGACTCAGGGTAGATGGCATGGTTTTGTACCCGTCAGTCCACCCCTTCTCTCCAGCCTCGCGCCCCCCTTCCCTCCTGGCCTCTGGTAACCATTATTCTACTATCTACTTCTATGAGAAGCACTTTTTTTTTTTTTTAGATTCCACATATATGTGAGACCATATGGTATCTGTCTTCCTGTGCCTGACTTACTTCACTTAACATGGTGGTTTCTGGTTCCATCTATGCTGCTGCAAGTGATACAATGTCGTTCTTTGTCGTAGCCAAATGCTATTCCATTGTGTATACATACGACAGGTTTTTTTACCCACTTACCTGTTTGTTGATGGGCATTCAGGTTGATTTATCTCTCAGCTACTGTGAATAGTGCTGCAATGAACACAGGAGTGCAGGCGTCTTTTTGGTATATTGATTTCATCTCCTTTAGGTATATACCCAGTAGTGGGGTAGCTGGGTCATAGCGTAGATCTATGTTCGGTTCTCTGAGGAATCTCCACAGTGTTTTCTACAGTGGCTGTCCCAACTTACAGTCCCACCAACAGTATAGGAGGATTCCCTTTTCTCCACATCCTCTCCAGCATTTATCATTTTCTGTCTCGTAGATAATAGCAATTCTAACCAGGGCGAAATGATATCTTATTGCTGTTTTTTTGTTTGTTTTGGGGTTGGAGAGGAAACCAGCTTTCCCAGGAAGGGGTCCCACCATGCTGGAAAGTGACACTGCATGTAGCACAGGGCACACCAGCTGTAGGCAACCCCTTCCACCAAGAGGAGAGGCGGCATGGGATATGCCAACAAGAACAGGAGGTCCCCAACTCAATGTGGGTCTGGGAGGCCATCAGCTGCAGGCACTGAGTGCTTATCTGGACTCTGCACATAGCCCTGGGGTCATTTACAGCAAGTGGGAGTCAAGTCCTAAAAGTGGAAAAGCTGTCGCTTCATAAATAAGTGGACATTCCTTTTAGCTTAGGAGCAACACGCTTATGTTCAGATGCCCTTTTCCTTGTTTTTAAACTCTCCCCAGATCTAAGTGAAGGGCCGTGAGGGCTGCCCGTGTGGGGAGCAGAAAAGCCTGCAGCCCCAGCACTTTGTTTCACCCTCAGGGCAGCTGGACTCTGAACTCCCACCCCCACCCCTCACACCCACCCAACCCGGTCATAGGAATGGCTGCTGTCAGAAGATTAAATTCAGTTGCATAATATAGAGGGAAGATAATAAATTCTAATTTCTGCAGGCACAGAAGATACATGTGACAAGATTTTGGTTCTCTTCAACTTATGCTCCTAATACGTTTTCCAGCCTCTCCCTGCACTGCCCTGTCAGCGTGGCTTGCATTCCTCATTGAACTCTGCGTTACTTGCGATCACATCCGCACTCTTCATGCCAATTAATTCAGCTGGGATTGACCCGGAGTTTGCTCAAGCTTGAGCTCATAGCCTCCTAGCCCGAGGTCTCCATCATAAATGTTTTCCTTGCTCAGAGTCTGGGCTGGAGCTTTCTGGTCTAGACCCAGCCTTGCAGGAGGACTGCAGGGTGCAGGGGCTTGCTCCTGGTAGTTCATGGCTAGTTCATCCTGGTTTACAATGCATTCCACATCGTCTTCTTTTAGCTGTTCCTGGTTTTGAAAAGAGAGAGAGAGGTCACTTGATGATGTAGGTAGAGAACAGCAGCAATCCTTCAGGGTGGGAAAACAGACGTCTGCTTCCCTTCTCTTAGCTGCCCTGTCCTGCCTGGGCTGAAGTTTCTGCCGTGGGTGTTGGGAAAGCACTTCCCTGAGGCAGCATTGAAGACTTTCCACTCTCCACAGCCATGAGGGCTCCAGGTCTAAGGTAAGAGTCCTTGGAGAGCACATGAGAATCAAGCGCCTCCTTGGGTTAAGGGAGTTAAAGTGGAATTTGATGGATATTTCCTCCACTGGTAGTGACCAGGGTTGAGAAGAGATAGGAGCTGGCAGAATCCTGTGACCTCAGAGAAGGGAGAGATTCTCATGTCAGTATTGTAACCCTCCTGCCTGTCACAAAATTCTCAAAACACTGTTTCTATTCTACTGTATCTTCAAAGTGTGTCCTCTCAGCATGTCTCTTGGGATGACTGTCACAAGGCTAGAAATGGTTGGAACTCGCCATAGTGGATAATGCCAGAAACTAACTAAATCTGACCATCAATAGTTTTCCTAATTTAGAGGGGTTTTATTGAGGGAAATAATTAAGAGCTCAATTCTTATTGGCTTTAGGAAGGCCATGCTAAACTACTTGTAGAATGAGCCCTGGCTAGGTGCTCTTAAGTCTGTGGTTCTCAACTCTAGCCGGCCCCAGGATCATGTGGAGAGCATGCTAAAACGCAGGTTGCTGGGCCCCCAGCTCAGTTTCTGAGGTGGGGGCCTGTGAATGTGCATTTCTAGCACATGCTCAGGTGATGCTGCGGTGCTGGTCTGGAGGCCATGCTTTGAGACCACTGCCTTGGGCTGTTGTGCCCTGAACAAATTTGAGATGTGTTTTTCTATGTTGATGCAAGGGGGTGGCCAGCTGGATGACCTTGAAGGGCATTTCCAGTGCTCAGTCTCTGCTTTTCTCCAATTTCCTGACACTCTGATTTGTGGGTAATAATTTTAACTGCTTCTCAGCATTTTTTATTCCACTCCCTTGAGCTATAAGCACAGGCTTAACACCCAAAACCTCAAAACACAGCAGTTTGTGAGGACACACTACTACTTTTACACGTTCTAAGTTTACTTTATGGTTAAAAATATTGGTAACAATAAACAATTGCATTTTTAAGAGAAGAATAAGCTGATATCAGCAACAACGGAAAGGAAAAGATAAATGCTTCTTGGTGCAGTGAATTTTAAAAATGCTTCATCCTCGAGCCGGGCAGTAACAGCCCAGAGGTTTGTGGGCTCATCAATATTTACCAAGCCTGTCCCAGTGTGGGATATTTACTTACCCCATAGGCCTGAGGACTGGTGAGCAGCCTGGAAATTGGACCACACCATGCAGGTAACGTGGTGGTCAGAGGAGGACCAGAGTGCGTTAAAATTGGTTTCAGGTATCTGGGAGGCTTGTTAAGGAATATTTGTCAAAAGAGAGTTAGAATTTAGTTTCTCACACAGCACAAACCATTGCATGCTGTGAAAGAGACAGTTCTGTTCACCTTTGAATCCCCTACTCCCTCATTTAGGAAGCAATTTGGCCTGCAAAGATTGCTGTTTATAATCTTCGCTCCACACACTTTTCCAGCCCTCCCGACAGCCTTTAATCATGAAGAAATGGCGAATGGACCCTGCCATGTCAGAGGGAGGTGAGCATGTCCCTCCTCCCACCCCACCCCCGCTCAATGTCTCATCTGCTTAGCCAATGCATTCAGAAGAATTACCTTAAACAATAGCATTAAAAGATTGTGTTTTCTTAAAACTGCACACACACACACACACACACACACAGCTTAAAACACCAGTAATTTTCACCAAGAAGCAGAAAGTATATCATAAAATGTTCCATATTTTTGAGTTGGGTAGTGAACATAGATTGTTTTCCAAAATACTTTATTTTCACTATTCAACATAGTCACTTTATACTTCATACATCAATGCATTTCTATACAAAATTATGTAAATAAGCCAGTGCCAGGTTTATTCTATTGTCTAGCACCTGTCTTTCTCTTCCCTTCATCCCAAAGTGCTCTAACAAGTTAAAAGAAAAACCTGTTCGTCTAAATCCATTATGTTTCCCTCCAATCTATAATAATGAAATCCCCAGAGGCTGCCTTGGGTTGCTTTATTATTTATTTATTTTTTCACTCCAAAGAAAAGTAGTGGAATTATTTCAGCATTCCATCAGAAATGACTTTCAAGCCTTATATTATTTCCTCTGCTGGAGAATATTTCACCTCATCAACTCTCTGAAAAGCTATAATATATAGGGAAAGGGAAAATGGAAAACAGTTAAGATTGGTTGGCTTGTGAAGATCCACCGTCAGCCCAGGCACTCCGGGGGAGAAGATCTTGGAGACGGCCCGACAGGAGCCTGTCCACAGCCGGACATTCCCACCCTGTCATTCCCGGGATGCCCTGAGCAGGGTCACACAGGGCCGATGCAGCCCACAGGGGCCCAGGAATCTGGTTGCCGCTGGCTACGAATCATGAGCCAGCAAAACAGTAACAAAGCAGGGATGTGCTGGGATGATGTGAGGTGGGTGACTGCAAAGGCGCTTCCGAGGGTCTGCAATCGCAGCTGCAGATGAAAAACGCGACTCCTCCTTTCAGATGGGCAGCTGTTGTGCCCAGTTAAGGACCAGGGGAGATCTTAAAGGTCAGAGCCTGGCATTTGCTGTAACATCTTCTGAGTATATCTACAAATCTGAAAAGCCCTTGAAGATCCTTCATTAATTTTCATTACAGTGTTATTCCTTTTATTTTATGGATGAAGGAATTGAGGCCTAGCGATGTGATGATTTTAAATGATCCAAAACCTCCCTTTGCTATCTGAACCCACAATCATCACCCCTAGAAGGGGATGATTTATCAGGACAGAATCATGCACGGCAACCAGCTGGGCTCTCCAGAGAGCACAGCATGCAGGCCTCATCTCTGCTGGCGAGCTGCGGACTCGCTCGGGCGGGGCACTGAGGACACGTGAGATTGTGGGACAGGCCGTGAACATGGTTCTTTTAGGGAGTGAGGTGCACAAGACATATGTACAACTGAGTGTAAATCAAGGAAAATCAGCTGATCTTATTTACAGATGGAAAAGTGACAGCAAGTGGGCGTCATTTTTAGAGATGTCATGTGAAAACATGAAGACATTTGCCAGGGCTCTAAGAGTTTGAGACAGGCCTGGGTGACTTCCACTGGGTTCTCAATGAAATACACTGAAAAATAAGATGCTAAAATACCAAAATAATGTCACAAAAGTAAAACACAAATTTAGAATTGTGTAATAAGCATTTTAAAAAGACCTGATGAGGTATCTCTTTAAATCAATGTGTAACACTATTGCAGCTAACAATTAAAGGCTACATTTGTGGCTTTTTGTGACTATGATGACTTGACCAAACAGGGGACCAGAT